GTATTTTTCACAGAACTAGAACAAATAATTTCACAATTTGTATGGAAATACAAAAAACCTCGAATAGCCAAAGTAATCCTGAGAAAGAAGAATGGAACTGGAGGAATCAATCTGCCTGACTTCAGACTCTACTACAAAGCCACAGTCATCAAGACAGTATGGTACTGGCACAAAGACAGAAATATAGATCAATGGAACAGAATAGAAAGCCCAGAGATAAATCCACGAACCTATGGTCACCTTATCTTCGACAAAGGAGGTCTCTGTATACAATGGAAAAAAGACAACCTCTTTAACAAGTGGTGCTGGGAAAACTGGTCAACCACCTGTAAAAGAATGAAACTAGTATAGTCTGAAGTCAGGCAGATTGATTCCTCCAGTTCCATTCTTCTTTCTCAGGATTACTTTGGCTATTCGAAGTTTACTGAGTCCTCACTACAAGCCAGACCCCTCACCAAGGGCACTGGAAATACTAATTCATTTAATTTTTATACAACTCCCATGCGGTACCTCTGTTATTTGTGCTTGACAGATGAGGAAACAGAAGCACAGAGATGGTTAAGTAACTTGCTCAAGGTTACACGTCTAGCAAATTGGACAGCCAGGATTTGAGGCAGGTAGTTTGGCTCCTGCTTAGAAGCAGGTAGGCTGGAGCTTCCCTGGTGGTCTGGTGGTTAAGAATCTGCTCTGCGATGCAGGGGATTCCAGTCTGACCCCTGGCCTGGGGAGGTCCCACACGCTGTGGGGCTACTAAGCCCATGAGCTGAAACTATGGAAGCCTGCGTACCTAGAGCCTGAGTTTTGTTACAAGAGAGAAGCCACCGTAATAGGAAGCCTGTGTACTGCAACCAGAAAGCAGCTCCCACTTGTTGCAACTAGAGAAAGCCCGCGCAGCAGTGCAGACCCAACTCAGCCAAAAATAAATAAAGCAGGCAGGCTGGGGTCACAAAGCAGCCACAGTCACCAAAGATCTGACAGAATGAGAGGCCTCTTCCCCTATTCTGGAATGTTCACCATAAGGAGATTTTGTCAGACCAGGATACTGGACAGTTTAAGGTCCAAGTCTAATTCATTCAAGGATCCAGCATGTCATGTCACATCCTCCATGATGCTGCCACTTGCCCTCCTGAGTTCTCCTTTAGTGGCCCCAAAATAGATCTCTGCTGATTCTGGTCCAGTGGTGTTAGCAGAAAAATGTCTGAAGCTAGACTAGTTACTGGGCCTCCCAGAGAAGGGGCACATGCACCCACCATAACTGGGATTTCTCTATTTAGTCCCGATGATGCACGATGAATTCCAAGCGCATCAGAGACACCTATAGGTAGCTCACATTCTACGTCTCCACTTGCTACCTACATCCACAGCCCACCTAGTCCTTTGCAAATGCCCCCTATTCACTAACTCTCCTGCCTGTGGAAGATGGTGATATACGCAATGAAGAAGGCTCTCCTAGGTCAATGTGGCAAACCCAACACAGAAATGCAAAGAAGTAAGTAAGGCCCAGGAACCCAGCTTGTGTAACCTCAAGCTGGCAGTGGATTTGGAACTGGGGTTGGACAAGAAAAGATTTGGAAGAGGAGAGATGGACCTCTCCAGGCCTGTCTACAAGGATAGAAAAGGAGAAAATAACTCAGGGTATGTATCCTGTAAAGTCATAAGATTATGCAGTCAGCGACTTTGTAGCTAGAAAATCATAACACAAATATTTAAGAAATGGGAGGCAGTTACAAGAATGTCCCTATTTGAGTAAATATAGTTTCCTGGTGGACACACAGAATTAAATTTCAGTAAAAATAATACACTGGGGGTACAGTTTTCCAACATGCATCAAAAGCCTTACTCATGTTCCTACTCAATTCTATCCAACCTCATGTGGCAGGCCCTGGGCTAGGCTCTTGGATACACACTAAACAAGAAGACAAGAGTGCCAGCCCGCAGAAGAGCTAACTGTGGAGAACGTATTTCAGGAAGGGTGAAGTATGGGGTGCTCAGGACACAGCATAAACGGGATTTAACCTAACCCAGAAAACCAAGAAGGGGTGAAATGTCTTTTAAGTGACACTTGAAGGACAGGAAGGATTTACTAAGGCTGGAATGGACAAGTGAAATGAAAGTCGCTCAGTCATGTCTGACTCTTTGCAACCCCATGGACTATACACAGTCCACAGAATTCTCCAGGCCAGAATACTGGAGTGGGTAGCCTTTCCCTTCTCCAGGGGATCTTCCCAACCCAGGGATCAAACTCAGGTTTCCCGCATTGCAGGCAGATTCTTCAGTGAGCCACAGCGAAGCCCAGGTGAAGGCTCTGAGCAAACTGAGCAGTAGGTAAAAAGGAAATGATAGAAGTTGTGCGCGCGCGTGCACACACACACACACATACACACACACACGCCCAAAATGAAGTTGGCAAATAGGCTACTTCCTCAGGCTTTAAAAGTCATTTTAAGGAGTCTGCATCATGTTCAAAAGTAAAAGAGAAGAGTGATGAGTGAAATTCTGATCAGTGTTCTACTGTATATTCTTTGACTCAATAATTCTACTTTAAGGAAATTCTCCTAAGGAAATAATTATGAATTCGTGCAATGATACATTTAAAAGGATATTTCTAATATTTAGATAGTCTAGAATTACAAAATCTTGAAATAAACTGAGTAACTTATGGTGGTGAAAGTGATAAGTCTCTCAGTTGTGTCCGATTCTTTGTGACCCCAGGGACTGTAGCCTTCCAGGCTCCTCTGTCCAAGGGATTTCTCAGGCATTGCAAGCAGATTCTTTACCATCTGAACCACCAGGTAAGCCCCCTTACAGTAATTGTTTAGATAAATGAGACTGTGGTTCATCTGTAAAATGTTATGTAACTGCTAAAGATAACATAGGAAACAAACCAATGACATGCAAAGATGTTCATTACATGTTGGATGCAAATTGAAGATTATATAAAATATATAGTATAATCTCTATTTTGTATATACGCACACACATACATACATACACACACAGCGAAATAGGTATACAAGACATTAGAAAGCTATAAACCTAAATGTCAACTTCTCTTTTCATGTGGGATAATGTTAATATTAACAGCTGATTTAAACTTTCACCTTTTATTTTTTTCTAATTGTTCTAAATGTGCTACTTTTGTGATTTTAAAAAATGATGTCTTGGAAAAAAATTTAAAAAGAAAAAAAACAAAAAAATTTAAACAGAAAATTTTAAGAAAGAAAAAAATTTTAAAGATTATATATCTTACATGCTTAGAGATTTCTGGGGTGCAGACCATATTCTATTTCTTGACCCTTACTGGGTTAACACTGGCCTTTTGCTTTACTTGTTAAAACGTAAACTTTAGAATAAAGTTTCCTCCCCGCACATTACATTTCACGATTTATAAAATGCTTAATAAGATGCACGTATTTTTCAACCGTTTACACATAGCCCTGCGTCTCTAAGGTTCCGTAATTCCGGACTTGACAACCTCAAACAGTGGTTAGTGTATCCGTCTTGGCAACGTAGACTTCAAGTCCCAGCAGGCATTGCGGCCAGCACACTGGGATCTACGGGGTCTGAGAGGGAGTCTGGGAGCCTCCGGTCCTTTTCCTCCCAGAAGCCCGCGGGCGGCTCGGAACGCCGTCCGTATCATGGCCGCGGGAGCCGGGACGGCGGGCTCCGCTTCCGGCCCGGGCGTCGTGCGTGACCCAGGGGCGTCACAGTCGAGGAAGCGTCCCGGCAGGGAGGGCGGGGAGGGCGTGCGGCGATCAGACGCGATGGCGGGAGGAGGCGGGAGCAGCGACAGCAGCGGGCGGGCGGGAGGCAGGCGGGCGTCCCGTAGCGGCGGGCGGGCTCGGCGGGGGCGCCACGCGCCCGGGCTTGGGGGCGCCGCGGAGCGCGGCGCGGGGGAGGCGCGGCTGGAGGAGGCGGTCAACCGCTGGGTGCTCAAGTTCTACTTCCACGAGGCGCTGCGGGCCTTTCGGGGTAGCCGGTACGGGGACTTCAGGCAGATCCGGGACATCATGCAGGGTGAGGGCCGGCCCAGGGGAAGGAGGCTGGGGGCCCCTGGGACGGGGATCTGTGCACCCCCCCGCCCCCGCGTGTCGCGGCTGGGGGTCGCCGAGTCAATGATGTCTTGTTTCCCAGCTTTGCTTGTCAGGCCCTTGGGGAAGGAGCATACCGTGTCTCGGCTGCTGCGGGTTATGCAGTGTCTGTCGCGCATTGAAGAAGGGGAAAATTTAGGTATGGCTATTTTTTTATGTTCTTCTCTTAGCTTACTTATTTATGGTTACATTGTTTTCAAACTTACATCCTGGACTGAAGGATTCAGGGTTAAGGTGGGCTATTATGTTTCAGTCACAGTGGTCTTTTTCCTTCTAGGACGAGTTTATTCTCTGGCTCTACTTTTCTCCACTTAGTATTCTCTTGGCTACTTTTCTGTGTTTATTTCCTCCCACCTGTTTCTTGCTCGCCCCAACTTTTTGCTATCTAAATCGAATTATGTGAAGATGGACATTTTTCCTCCTTAGTAGAGTGTTTTTTAAGTATGAGCACCTTTTTTTTTCTTTGCCTAAATTGATCTTGACAGCTGTTTAGCAAAATGATCTATAGTTTCTGACTGTATCTGATTCTGACATTTAAGATGCATATGCATGTGTTAAAAAAACAAGTTTTTACCTGTCCTGAAAATTACTGAAGGTCGCTTGAAATTCAAGGGTTTGAATTTGGACCCTTAACATGTTTGTAAGCCTGTAGCCAGTATATCAACAAATTAAATACAAGTCTTACTATATTTGCATGTTTTCTTATATATATACACATACAGAGAGACATAATTCTTCTGCTCTTTAGAAAACAGGTTAAAGTGAAAACTGTGCTTTTTGTCCTAGACTGTTCCTTTGATATGGAAGCTGAGCTCACACCACTGGAATCAGCTATCAATGTGCTGGAGATGATTAAAACGGAATTTACACTGACAGAGGCAGTGATCGAATCCAGTAGAAAACTGGTCAAGGAGGCTGTAAGGCTCTATTTTTAATTTCTTTTTTCTTTTAACAAAGATCAGAGTTCTTTGAGGAATCAGTGCTCTTTCCTGTGTGGGGTGGAGGACAGACAGGGATGGAGAGAGAGCAAGTGAGCACACTGAAAACACATTAACTCACACACATAGGTGTTACTTCATCAGGTGACCCTTCTTCCTAGCCCAGTCTTGGAAAGGACTGTTGAGGCACATGCTCAGCTTTTGTGATTTTTGATGGTCTTCCTTGTGGCCCTGACAGGAGGGGCCACAGTACACAGGAAGTGAGTTGGCAATGAAGAATGACATTTTGGAGGTTGTACCATTCAGAGCAGCATATTGAAAGGCTAAAAGTAACTGGCCTAGGATTTGGTCACCCTTGTTTATTATAGACCAAGGAGAAGAGCTGGTGCCTTGGAAAATGTGGGACCGCGTTGCACTCTTTCATGCAATTACTGAGAGGCTTAGGGAACATTCCCTTTGAGCAGACAGAATCAGAGATGCTGAGATAATCAGCCAGTTAGGAAAACAGTAATGGTAGGAGGCTGGTGCAGGGAGCGTTCTTGACAAGAAAAAAGCTTGTAGAGTGTCTAGGAATTTGGGACTGGAACTATGTCATGGTTCAGGTAGCTTTAAGTAGTGGAACTTATCTATATTTAAAACATTGAAGTGGCCATGGAAACCAGTCAGAAAAAGCTTTTTCTTCTCCAATAACCAAGGCTGGGGGTGTGGAAGCAGATGCAGAGATGGGGACTGAACAACAATAGCTCAGCATTGTCTTGGTGGTGATAGTAAGGAAATTGGTAAGAAAAGATAAGAGCACCTCCTAAAAGGATGAGATCTCAAGAGCAGAGAGGTAGGAGATAAAACCTTGCTTAGCAAAGAAGACTTTCGGTCCCTTGACTGTGTGCTGGGTACTCAGACACCCTGTTGAAAAAAAACCAAACCACACAGTTAAAAAAACTGTGTGGGATGCCGATATTTTATTTATTCAGTTAAGGACCTTGGGGCAGGATCTACTTTTGGTCTTGCAAGGAATGCTGAGAAAATTCCCATTCCAAGGAGGAATGATTACAAGAATAGATTTTTAGTACCCGTGAGTCAGGTTTGTGTCGGAGATAAAATGCCAGAAAAGACATTAGCAAAAGAGGAGAAATCCATGCCTACTTGGAAAATAGCTTAAGGATCTTTTGAATGGGAAGAAATGGTGCCAGTTCAGGGTAATTCATGTAACTATTCTTAAGTGGCCAGCTAATTCAGAAATGCAATTCTTGCAGAACCCAAGGGTTATAGTTCTGTCTTCTAGAAAAGCCTGTGGGCTTTCATCTTCACCTGCATGTTTATTATTTAAGTTCATAGATCTCTTGTTTGGACACTTCATTAGGAAAAATTTGTTAGCAAAATCTAGATTTCCTTAAAACAGTCAACCATTTTCTTATGTTGACTCCCTTCTGCTTTTTCATTTTCCACCAGGTGCCAGATCTCTTGTTACTATATTACTGTTTACTGCTGTGTAACAAAGTAAGCCAAAATTTTAGCAGCTTAAAAAAATAAGTACTATCTCTCAGTTTCCAAGGGTCAGGAATCTGGTAGTGATTTAGCTGTGTTTCTAACTGGAGGTCTCTCGTGAGATCATAGTCAGGCTGCCTGCTACGGCTGCAGTTATCGGAGTTTTCCTGGGCTGATGAGCCTGCTTCTGTGCTGACTCCACTGGCTGGTTATTAGCAGGACTCACCTTCTTTCTGGCTGTTGGCTCGAAGACTTCAGGTCCTTGTCTCTCCTTAGGACTACTTAAGAGCACAGTAGCTTGCTGCCCCTAGAGCAGTAGTGATCAAAGAGAAGAGAAAGCTGTAGTCTTTTATAAACTAATCTCAGAAGTGACTTACCACTTCTGCCATATGCTCTTGTTCACATAGACCTGACCAGCTGGATTAGTGTATGGAATGGGACTATGCAGGAGGTGGGGATCACTGGGAACCATCTTAGAGGCTGGCTACCATAGTAATATCCAAGTTGTTAATTGATATTGTATCACTTGTCTCTTTGATTTATTTATTTTTTATATTTCTTATTTAGTCATAGAATCTGTTAATGGTCATCTTTAGGAAAATATCTTGGAATACCTAGGCTCAGTGAGGCTTTTTGTTGCATTTTTAAGCTTTGTAAAGTGTCACAGCAATTTATCTTAAAGTTTATTAAATTTATTTTTTAAAGTTTATCAAATAAGTTATTTGTTAAGTTTGAACTTCTCCATGAGTGGTCCGGGGATTTTTGCAGGTCTTTGGGACCCTTTCAGGGTTCAAAACTATCTTCATAATAATGCCAAAATGTTAATTGAGGTTTTCAGTGCACTGACATTACTGACATTTACATTGATAATGCAAAAGCAGTGATGGGTAAAATTTCTGGTGTCATAGCATGACCAAAGCAATAATAAAATGTATTAGTAGTCATTGTATTCTTCATTGGCACATGCGTACAGTTTAAAAAAAAAAGCCAGTTTCAGTTAATGTCTTTGATGAAGCAGTAAAAATTATTTTTATTAAGCCTAATTAATTTTATTAATACACCTAAGAATGTCTCATGAAGCAGTAAAAATTACAATTTTATTAAGCCTTGAACAAAATGTTTTTTCAATATTTCATCTGACAAAATAGGAAATTTTCCTGTAGCATTTCTATTGCATACCAAAACATGATGGTTTTCTTCAGGAAAAGTACTTGTGTGATTGGGCTGCATGCTGACCTAGCTGCTTTTGTAATGGAACACCGTTTTTATTTGAAATAATTGACAATTTTTGGTTTTTTGGATGTGGTAATCTGGTAGTCATTTTCTTGAGAGAGCAGAGTGAACTTGTCACGTCAGTGAAAACAGTTGGTAGCATGTGTTGCCAGAGATAAAATTCAAGCTTTTCAGGTGAAAATTAGAATTTTGGAAAACCTACATTCATGTGCTGGGTATCTTTCCAATACTTAATTCTGATATGATTGATAGTAATATTAATAACTGTAATTTTGAAAAGATTTGTAATGAATGTATCAAACACGTGGAAGATCATAGCTCAGTAAACCAATATTTTCCAAATGATCAATGAATTGTATTGCAAAATCATTCAAGGGTAACAGATCCATTAAAAGTGCAAGCTAGACTATGACATTTTAATATAATAATGATAATGATAATATAATAATGATAAAAAATTCACTTGACAAAGTTTGGTGTAGAGTCAAAGAAGAGTATCCACATTTTCTAAAAGAGCTCTTAAAATAATCCTCCCTTTTTCAACTTTGTGTGAGGCTGGAATTTTTTAATATCCTTCAACCAAAACAACATATCACAACAGAATGAATATAGAAGCAGAATACTATCTTTCTTCTATTAAGCCAGATATTAAGGAGATTTGCAAAAATGTAAAACAATGCCACCCTTCTCATTAAACTTTTGTCTTAGAAAGTAAGTAGTTGTCATAAAGATATGTTATTTAAATTAACCTATAATAAGTTTATTGTTATTTTTCAGTGAATAAATATCTTGAATTTTTATGTTTTATATTTCTAATAACAGTAAATATCAGTGGATATAACCCATGTAAACAAAAGTTCTTTGGGGTCCTCATTAACATTGAACAGTATAAAGAATCCTGAGACCAGAAGTTTGAGAACTGCTTCTGTAAGCTGATAATGATATTGAGACTATGTTGGTTTTCTTTTTATAACTAAAAGAGAGAGGCCTCAGGTTTTTGTGAACACGGGAGAATAATATATATGGCATGTCCTTGGGGAAGCATTTATGTGTTGCTTTTGCTGTGCACCTTTGGTAATAGCACCTTGATTTTCTTTGGGGGGGAACTTACCCCATTTGAGGGACTGTTGCATCTCACATTGTCTTACAATTTAAATTTCTTGAAACAGAAAGCTTTGCCAAGGGTTTTTGAGCATTTGTGCTTCCTTAACATCCAGGTTTCTTTCCAAGGTTGCTTCTTTAGCCTTTCTTCACTTCTGTGAGTTTGGCTTTCTCTTCTTAGGTCCTTTCTGGCATTTCCTCCAACATAAACCCATCTCGGCTATATTGAAAATCTGTGCTTGGAATTTTGCTTTAGTTTAAGTTAGCCAGAGACCATTGCTGTTGCTTACATGATAAGAACCTTAACAGATACATAGGAGCAGAAATTATCCTTATCTCTGAAAACTTCCAAGTTTTCAAAAAGCAAAGTTTCATCTCCTAAAAAAAGAAAAAACAACAACAAACAAAAACTTACCGGGAATCAAATTAATGTATAGCTTTTTTAAAAGCTCATAGTACAAACTTTGGAGGCAGGCTTTCAGTTTAGATTTTGAAAGCATTCACATTTCCTTTCTTGTTTCACAAATTAAACATAGTTGGGCCTGTATTCTAGTTCTAGGAAAGATAAGCATACTCTTCTATCTTTCTTAATTCAAGTATAAATCTTGGACAGAATGTATGGAGCAGCTGTCTGAGAACACAGAAATGTAAAGGGCAGTAAGCAGATGGAGAAGACCAGAGTATGAAGGTCTCCCAAACTGCTGATGGTAGATGACCATTTTTCCCCTTTCTAGTATCACCAGGCCTGGACTTGAAGGATTCTGAAACTGGAAGTACACTCCAGTTGTGAACAGAAATAACGCCAAGAGAGGCTCTCTTTGGTCTGAAGGGTGGGAAAGGGGATTGGCTAAGGGTCAGAGAGGGTGGAAGAAATCTCAGGGGGCTTTTTTCTTCCTTTTTCCCTCCTTCTCTATCCTAGCACCCAGGCAGTATTACACTGGTGGCAGCAGTGACATAGTAATGATTACAGTGACAGGAGAGCAGGCACCTAAAACCAAAGGAAGAGAACCTTTTTTCTTTAGCAGTGGAGCTGTGATTCCCAGAACTTGAAATGGATTCCACTTTTTTTTTTCTCTATTCTGATGCTTAGTCCTGGATGCAGATACAGTTAGTATGTGGCAGAATGGGGAAACTAAAGCCCAGGAATGCAAGGCTGGTTCAATATTTGAAAATCAGTGAATGTACTTTACCCTGCTAGTCCAAAGAAAGAATCATATGATTATATCAATTGAAGCAGAAAAAGCATTTGACAAGATTCAACGTTAGTTCATGGTAAAAACACAGACAAAACTAGGAACAGAAGGAAACTTACTCAACCTGACAAAAGGCATCTACAAAAAACCTACAGGGAACATCATACTTAATGGTGAAGAATGGAATGCTTTGACCCTAAGATCCAAAATGAGGGAAAGCTGTCTGTTCTCACTTACATTCTACATCATACTGGAAGACCTAGCCACTGCAGTAAGTCAAGAAAAATAACAGATTGGAAAAGAAGGAATAAAACTGTCCCTTTTTTCAGATCACATGGCTATCCATATAGAAAATTCCATGGAATATATCAAAAAGCTATATAATAAATAGTTTAGCCAGACTGCAGGATATAAGATCAACACACAAAATCAGTGAAATGCTAGCAGTGAAATGAAATGATCAAAACAGTATCATTTATAATAGTTCCAAAGAAGAAGAGAAAAATACTTAGGTATAAATCTAATAATAAAACATGTAGGTGGGACTTCCCTTGTGTTCACTGGTTAAGAATCTGCCTGCCAATGCAGGAGACATGGTTTGATCTGGGACCAGGAAGATCCCACATGCCGCATGCCAACTAAACCCGTGTGCCACAACTGCTGAAGCCTGTGCGCCCCAGAGCCCGTGCTCTGCAACCCGAGAAGCCACCACAAGGAGAAGACAAGACTGCAACCAGACAGTAGTCCCCACTTACTACAGCTAAAGAAAGCCCAGGCACAGCAATGAAGACCCAGCCAGCCAAAAACAAATTTTTTTAAAAATGTAGGATCTGTATGTGGAAAAATTACAAAATGCTAATGAAGAAATAACAACCTAGTAAATGGAAAGAAATACCCTGTTTGTGGATTAGAAGACCTAATATAGTTAAGATGTCAATTCTCTCCAACAGATCTATGGATTTACTAGAATTCTAATCATAGCCTCCGCAGGATCTTCTGTTAGATACAGACTGATTCTAGAAGACATATGGTAAGGTAAAAAAAAAACACTAAACACAACAGTTCTGTAAAAGAAGAACAAAGCTGGAGGACTCGCACCCGATTTTAAGAATTACTATAAAGCTACAGTATTCATGACTATAGACAGATGAGTGGAACAGAAGATAGAGTCCAGAAATAGACCCATACAAACATGACTCATCAATTTTTAACAAAAAAATGTGAAGGTGAACTTCCCTGGTGGTCCAGTGGCTGGGACTCTGTGCTCACATTGCAGGGCGCCTGAGTTCGATCCCTGGTCGAGGAACTGGATCCCACATTCTGCAACTGAAAGATCCTGCATGCCATAGCTAAGACCTGATGCAGCCTATATATATATATTTAATGTGAAGGTATTTCAGTGGAAAAAGGATAGTCTTCAATAAATGGAATTAAAACAACTGGATGTCCATATGCAAAAATAAATGAACTTGACCTAAAACTCATTAAAAAATCGATTTAAAGTGGATCATAATCTAAATGTAAAGCAGTAAAACTGTTAGAAGAAAACATGGGGGAAAAAAACCCCAAAAACTATGTCCTGGACTTAAGGCAAAAAGCTTCTAGATGTGACAGTAAAAGCATGCTCCACAAGAGCATGAAGTAGACTTCATCAAAACTTGAGAAAAACACTGTTCAGAGAATGAGAAGACAAGCTATGGAGTGGGAGAAAATATTTGCAAATCACGTATCTGACAAAGAATTTGTATCCAGGATATCTAAAGACCTCTCAAAATGAACAAGAAAACAAACACCCCAAACAATTAAAGAGAATATACTGTTGGCAAATAACATGAAAAAAGGTTCACCATTTAGTCAGTGGGGAAATTCTGGCACATACCTATTAGAATGGCTAAACTTTAAAACTCCTCTAACACTAATAAGTGTGAGTGTGACTATGGAGCAACTGGAATCTTCATACATTGCTGATGGGGATGTAGAAAGGCATCTCAAGGGCATGATTATACTAAGGGAAAGACACAGGTCTCAAGGGCATTACACTAAGGGGAAGAAGCCAGACTCAAGGCTATGTCCTTTAAAAATTAAGGTGAGTGACTCCGTTTATATGATGCCATTTACATGACTCTGAAGAGATGAAACGGTGAAAAGATGAGGGGTTAGGGGCGGGAAAGAGGTGACAGCAGAGTGCAGCACAAGGGAGGTTTATTGGATCCCTGGCTCTCTGGCATCACTGTGGTGGCCGCAGGAGTCGACACGTGTTCAGAACAGTACAACCAAAAAGAGTTAAAACATAATAGGACCTAAATGATTTATAAAAGGTAAAACCTTTGTATTCTCCAAAAAAGTATAGTCTTAGTATAGTTTTTCTGCTGATAATGATGTAAAAGTGAATATGATGATCTGATTAAAATGAAAAGACTTACTTCATCCCCTCCCTGGAAGCAGGAACTTAGTGTTGTAACTGCTATTCAGATGCGTGTGACACCAGTTTCCTTTGCCCTGTATGGTTGTGCTCAGCCTGTTGAGGACAGAAGCACCAGAAATTTGTATTTTCTGAATTCCCTTCCCTTGGACTGTATGTATCTCCTTAAACTCTTCCCTGTGAAGAACTGAAAATATCTGTGGACCAGTTTCCTTCCCTTTTTTGTGTGTGTGAGGTATGTTTCTTTGACACTGTATTTAAATTCACTGCTTTATCCTATTAGATAACTCCAGGTGGTACAGATTTTTTCATGGCTTTCCTCATTAAAAAAAAATGTGCACATGTTTTTAAATATCCTTTTTAATTTTCAATCACTGTTATTTTCCCTGTGTGTGTGTGCTCTAGGAATATAGAACATAGGTTTCTTGACTGAAGGACTCTCCTTTTTCTCTGTGGCTGGGGAGACCTTCTCATCCTATGTGGAACTTTGTCCTGTTTTCTTTGCTGCTTGTGGAGTTAGCCCCCTGGGGTTTATAGTATGAGAGGCTGTGCTGGTTCTACTGAACTGGCCCGAGTTCCACTAGTAGAACTCTGATCAGCAAGTCCCTCCCCCACCCTCCGCCCCCCAGTATATCCTCCTTTCATTCCCCCATTACATCAAAGCTTGTGCATACCAAAAAAACAAAACCAACTGTTCTGGGGGTCTGGAATGACTCCTGTCCATTTTGCTTTTCCATAGGAGGCCCTATTCTGATTGAGTAAATGGTCTGTAATCCAGTAGATCAGATTCTGCTGTATCGGCTTTTTTTAAAATTCCAATGTAATATTGAATTAGTGAAGGTGATGGAATTCCAGTTGAGCTAGTTCAAATCCTAAAAGATGATGCTGTGAAAGTGCTGTACTCAATATGCCAGCAAATTTGGAAAACTCAGCAGTGGCCATAGGACTGGAAGAGGTCAGTTTTCATTCCAATCCCAAAGAAAGGCAATGCCAAAGAATGCTCAAACTACTGCACAATTGCACTTATCTCACACGCTAGTAAAGTAATGCTCAAAATTCTCCAAGCCAGGCTTCAGCAATATGTGAACTATGAACTTCCAGATGTTCAAGCTGGTTTTAGGAAAGGCAGAGGAACCAGAGATCAAATTGCCAACATTCGCTGGATCATTGAAAAAGCAAGAGAGTTCCAGAAAAACATCTATTTCTGCTTTNACTGCAAGGAGATCCAACCAGTCCATCCTAAAGGAGATCAGTCCTGGGTGTTCACTGGAAGGACTGATGCTGAAGCTGAAACTCCAATACTTTGGCCACCTCATGAGAAGAGTTGACTCATTCGAAAAGACCCTGATGCTGGGAGGGATTAGGGGCAGGAGAAGGGGATGAGAGAGGACGAGATGGCTGGATGGCATCACCGACGAGATGGCTGGATGGCATCACCGACTTGATGGACATGAGTCTGGGTAAACTCCAGGAGTTGGTGATGGACAGGGAGGCTTGGCGTGCTGTGGTCCATGGGGTTACAAAGAGTCGGACACGACTGAGCGACTGAACTGAACTGAATATTGAAAATCCTAGTACCTTACATGCTGAAGGAGAGTGTATGATTGTTCATATGGTTGAACAATAATTGTTAGCTTTTAAACAGGAATTTGATAGAATGTGAAAAAGTTCTTGGGTATATAAGACTCAGTTTTACTTTTCAGTGGAGCTTATTTTGATATGTGCTATTCTGATTATATCTTTCATTATTACAACAGTTAAAAAAAATTTTCCCCCTTTTTTAGGCAGTCATTATTTGTATCAAAAACAAAGAATTTGAAAAGGCTTCAAAAATTTTGAAAAAACATATGTCCAAGGACCCTACAACTCAGGTAAATTTGATATACTTTTGCTTACATTACCTATATCCAGCTCATTGCTTTTTGTGGGGAAACAGGGAAGGGGTTCTCTGTCAGGAATATTAATATTCAGTACCATGAACATGTCTTTTATATCTAGGATAACTTACTGTTAGAATGGCTTTTCAAAAATGTGAAAAACTTACAGAAATCATTTACTTGCCCATTTCTGCCAGGTGTGTGACAAAACTCTAGTGCTCAGTACTGGTACTAACACATCTGACTTTATTTATATAAATGCTGATCCTGCAGACTTGAGAATCTGCCTTACTGAGGACTCAACGCCTCTGTTTTCTGGTGTCAAAAACTCTGCTGGTACCCTGCTCTTTTTTATATATATAAATTAAATTTTATTTTTGAAAAGCTAATATATGTATATAATACAACATTCATAAATACAACAAAATAGCTTAGTGAAAATTCTATCAACTCTGACTTGGCTATCTCATTCCTCTCCTTAGAGGCAACGAATGCTTTTTTCTCCTTAAGAGATTCTGTGCATATGCAGGCAAATAAGTGTGCATGTGTGTATGTACAGACACACACATGTATCCAGTCTTCTGTTCTTCCAGTATACATATGTGAGCATATTCTACACACTTAACTTGATCATTAAATTGCTACTTTCACTTAATGTTATCTTGGAGATCTTTTTATATTAGTACATAGGGAGCTTTTCATCTGTTTCGGTTTTCTTTTTTGAAAGTTTAAAAATCTTTATATGTAAAAGTAGAAAAATACTTTGGATCCTAAGTTCATTATCTTTTTCACCACCACCCCCTTTTGTATAGCTACATAGTAACCAACTGTGACTGGTCAGTAATTTTTGACCTGTTCTACACTGTGGTATGCTTCCTTTTCCCCCAGTGCTATTCATTGATGGTACTGAGAAAGTTCTGATAGTGTTGTCTTAACTCATCATCACTGAATCTTTACTGGAGTTTTCCTTTCTCATATTTCAACTTTTGGTCCTTTGTGTAGAAGCTGAGAAATGACCTCCTAAACATTATCCGTGAAAAGAACCTGGCCCACCCTGTGATCCAGAACTTCTCCTATGAGACCTTCCAGCAGAAGATGCTGCGCTTCCTGGAGAGTCACCTGGATGACGCAGAGCCCTACCTCCTCACGGTGGGGCTTGGAAACATTGGTCATCCTAAGTTTCAAAGGAAACCAAAAGTCTGGCTTTTGCATGTGACCCCAAAGGTCTATGTGGGATTCAGAAACTAGATTAGGGATGAGGCTGAAAGGATAGAAGAGGAGACACAAAGTAAAATCACTTAATTTGTTGTCCAAAATAACTGTCTGGAATTCTTGCAACATCAAGATCCTTTTAGCACCACTCAGATTGAGTTCTCCTTTAGTATAGAAAACTATGAGCCATTGTGTGGGGAAGGAACAAATAAAGAAATCTGAGACAATTCTTTTAAGTTCTCTCCCTTTTAATGTCCTCCTATAGTCTATGCCTAAATTGGGTTTGTAAGTGAAAGTGCTTGCATATTGAATGTGTTCATGGTAAAAGCAGCAGAGAGTTAATGAAATTCTGTGACTTCCTCTTATTGACGGTATTTTTCCTTTCTCAGATGGCCAAAAAGGCTTTGAAATCTGAGTCCTCCACCTCAGCCACAGTGAAAGAACCACAACCTCAGCCAGCACCAGAGCCTGTGGAAAAGCCACTCAGAGAACCTGCCAGGTAAGAGAGATGCACTTTTGTGATGTTGGGATGAAACACAGAGGTACTTGGAAGCATAGTCATCATCTTAGAGCAGAGTCAGTCAGTTCTTCCTGGTGATTTGACCTCCTAACATGTTACTGGGTTACTCAAGGAAGGCACTGTGGGTTTCACAGAGCACACCCTGGGAAAATGGGAATATTGGAAACAGGATGTTAGGTCTTTGGCAGAAGTTCCTGACTGGCTATTTATTCCTCAGAGGCTCCTTCCTTCTGTTTCTCTGTCTTTGCCTCAGTACTTCCCTGTTGATATGTTATCTCTTAACACAGTGTTCAGACTTGTGACTCAGATTCCCGAGACCACCTAACAGAGCAGAGATCTCTGAGGGCGCTGTAGGAGACGTAAAGGAGCACAGTGGGTCCAGGACAACACAGCTGAGAGCGCAGGACTGGGGCCCGGCTCTGTGTGCTTGTTGCTGTGTTCACGGTCCAGGCCTCAGTTCAAAATTTTATGTGAGATGTCCAAAAAATATTTTTTGAGATTTCTCACATAAAAATTTGAACTGAAGTTTTTGAATGTTGGTGGTTAGTCCAATTAAGGGGGCAAAAAAAAAAGGTTAAACAAGACACATATGCCAGCTAGGATTGGCATGCAGGCCGCCAGTTTGCCTTCTCTTTAGAGTGTTTACTTAAAACATATGAGCTATTCCAAATGCTCGATGAACTTTATTTTGAAAAGGCAGTTTCTCATTGTTCCAAGACTGGCATGCTTCTCACTGAGAATTCTCAAGATCCCATTTATAAGTGTACTGTAGGAGAAAGAGGGCGGAATTGAGACCACTCTTACTAGTCTTACATGAGGGTTGGACTGGGACAGCTGTAAGAGTTTACACTTGAAGGTGAGATTGCTGGATTATCAGTTGGTCGTCTAGATGGACTTGTACCTGTTAGACATTCTGCAGAGCTCTTGCATTAAAGGAAAGCATTGCTTTAGTCCATGCAGAGTAATGAATTAGCACATCCGCTGAAGAGGCCTCTCGGAGGGATTATCATTGGCCCTGGTTCCTTTTAGGTTCTCTTGAAGTTTAAGCTCCATAATTCAATTTACATATCATATTTAAAACCTCTGCTTAACACTTAGAAATGGAAGTTCTTATAAATAAAGGCTGTATCATGCACTTTCTCTTTTTTTAAATGAAGAGTTCTCAACCTGAGTCTATAATTTGAAGCTTCACAGTTTGAAAAAGTTGTGGCTGCTTAGATGGGCCTCAGCAGTGGTCAAACTGATTTCTCTGTGTTTGCATTGTTTGTAGGCAGCTACAGAGCACACCAACCACCATTGGGATTAGGACTCTGAAAGCAGCTTTCAAGACTCTGTCCAGTGCACAAGATTCTGAGGCAGCCTTCTCAAAACTGGACCAGAAGGATATGGTCTTTCCTAATAAAGTGTGCCCGCCATCACCAGCCCTCAAAAACAAGAGAACAAGAAAAGATGATAACGAAAGTTCTGCCGCTGCTGAGGGTGAGGGTGGCTCTGAACTGCAGCCCAAGACCAAGCGCATGACAATAAGCAGACTGGTTTTGGAGGAGGACAGCCAGAGTACTGAGCCGAGTCCAGGCCTCGACTCTTCCCAGGAGGTCACACCGGCATCACCATCCAAGCCCACTGTCCTCAACCAACCCCTCCCTGGGGAGAAGAATCCCAAGTATGAAGACCTTCTTTGTAGAAGTTTGGGGGCTGGTTGGTGGTCCTGGTTAGGCCTGGTATTGCTTCCATGAATGAAGTAACTTTCAGCTACGTTATTCACCACCAAGGCTTGCTCAGACTGCTAGAGTGTGACTCAGGGTGGGGAGGGACGTCGTAGCCATTCTGCCAGTTCTGAAGGCCTGTGCTGGGCTTCCAGGCATTGCACTAGGTGGGAGTGGAAGGGTGTCAGAGCCTCCTGCTCACCACTGCTTCCATTTTTAGCGAACTGCTGAGTGCCTTGACTACTAAATAGTAGTCTTCTTACAAGAAGTTTGTTTGAATTGGGCCACATTATACTCTGATCCTTAAAAGAGATTTATGAATATTTATAGTTTTGCATGTTTAATGGACATTTGAAACTTGGCAAATTCAGTAAATACTAATCTCTCACATTCTGCTAGGCTTTGTGGGGCAGTGGTTAGAGTGCTTTCATTTTGCTCCACTTCATGACCCCAAGCTGGCTTCCAGTTTTGCTACCTTTGTGCCCTCTCATGGATCCTTCCTTTAGGCTGACTGGTCTGCTCGCTTCTTTAGCCCTCTTTCTGTCACTGTGCTCTTCTTGCCGCCTCTCATTCCCCACGTGTGGACCTTCATTCCTCCACCATCGCCTGTCAGAATCCCATCTGTCTTTCAAAGGGAAGAGAAGCTGATGTTAACTGAATACTTTCTGTGGGCCAAGCACTTTCAATTATTATCTTAATATCTACACTCTTCACTCTGAGTGATTTATTAGCTCCATTTTATAGGTGAGGAAGTTTCAGAAACATTACTAACTTAACTGAAGTCATATAGCTAAAAAGTGGCAAAACTGGGCTTTGGGATTTTTAAATCCTAGTTAGTCTTGACACAAAACCCATGTACACCAAGCTGCCTCGCCTCCATAAATTTCCCCTGGTCACCCTACTATAAGTGATCACCTCACTGATCCCCCAAGGTCATTGCCATCTCTACTTGCGCACTCTGTTGTAGCTGTTTGGGGACCTATGCCCTAGCTTGCTTGTGCTAGGTAGTCTGTGGGGCTGTGGCATCTGATAAGTGATTTATACTCGGGCACAGATCTGCACTATATACCACTATCTGCATTTGAAAGTGAGTTAGTCATTGGCTGGGCAAGCTAAATAACACACAATTATTCTCATTTTGTACCTGATCTCAGCCTCTCACAGCAATTCTATGAAGTATAGGTGTTGCTCCCATGAACAGATGAGGAAACTGGAAAGAGTATGATTACAGTGGCTTTATAAATGGAAGGATGTGTCAAGGGTATGAGGTATGGGTACTCTAAAGCAGAGGTTGGCAAATTATGGCCTCTTGGCTAAAGTCTACCTGTTGCCTGTTTTTGTAAATAAAGTTTTATTGGAACAGCCACACTTATGAATTATGTATTGTCTGTGGCTGCTACCTTGAGTTGAGCAGTTGCAACAAAGACAGTAAGGCCTGCAAGGCTTAAGATACTATATACATTTTATAGAAAAAAGGGATTCCCTGACTCTGGTTCTAGAAGAAGCTTATGTGAGGTGCCCTGGGAGCTGCAGGGAAGAAGAGCTGACCTGGGCAGCAGAGTTGTGGGTGGGGCAACCTTGCAGAGGGGCTAGCCTTGGAGAATGAGTAGGAAGTCATCCAGCATATTGGGAGGTGTGGGGTTCTGGGCAGTGGGAACCTCTTACAGCTCAAGAAAGCCTGGTATGCTCTGGAAACTGTCGTGCAGTCTGTATGGCAGGAGAATGCAGTGCACAGAGAGAAGGGAGAAAGGCCTGGAAGGTAGATGGGCCGGATTTTGAGCTCCTATTACGTTCTATCAGGCAGAGGTTTTCAGGCGGGGCTTCACATCAATTACCTGCAGTGTTGGGCTCCTGACTACGGAATGAGAAGGCATGGGGAGTGCTCTAATCTGCTTTGCTAACTGTGCCCCAGATAAACCTAATACACCTAATCTGAAAGCCTGAGCAGACATCACTGACAGCTTTTGTACTGACACTGAGGGAAAGGAGAGGAGGGTGGTGGGGCCTGCTGCCTGGTGAGCAGTCAGGACCCAGGGGAAGCTGGGCCAGTGGAATTAGAAGCAGAGAAGGCAGGCTTAGGGTCTGTCACCTTGATGGGGCCACGACTACTAGGCTTTCATATCCCTCATGGCACTTGGCACAGAACTAGTGCTTAAGAGGTATTTTATTAACCAAACAAAGTAACAGTTCTTGGTTCTTGGAATTTAAGGGGCCACCAGCAAAACTTCTATAAAAGGGTAGGAAAGGAAACAATTTAGCCTTTGTGGGCCACTTGTGTCTCTGTTACATGTTCTGTTTTGTTTTTTTACCACCCTTTGAAAAATATAAAAACCATTCTTAGTTCAAGGGCTGTACAAAAACCAGCAGCCACAGGCTGTACTCTGCCAACCCCTCTAAGACCATTAAGTTGTTCTAACTTCACCACTTAGGAGCACAGTGAGCCAGGAGTCTGCACAGCCAGCTAGCAGTCAAGATGAGAACCAGGTCTGAGCCCCTTCTACAACATGAGAAGTTAGGAAATACTGAAACGTTTATACATGTAATAAATGCTGAGTTCAGAGGAGGCGCAGAAAGTTACCAAAGTGATCTGCAAAGACAGTCTACAGGAAGAGTGACCAGCCACTTAGGTGAAAATGACGGACCCAGAGGTAAAAACCAGTTTTATCCCAGGACTTGGATAAATTGATGAAAAACTTAAACTCTGATCCTGACTTTTATTTAGCTAACATCCTGAAATGGGTAAACCTCATATAATTGTTACTTTGTCTCAAATCAGTTATTCTTAGAAATATCCTTTCGGAGGTTATGACCTAATTTAAAAACAAAAGAGTCCACTATTTGTCTCAGTCAGTTAAGTAACTATAGAAAACTTATGAAATTTTTTTTCAAGTGTAGGCATTTATTAAGTAAATTGTTTTCACTACTCATTTGAAAAATACTGACAGCCTTTGCAACAAAATTTCATAGTGGGAAAGAAGACAGCAGTTTGTACTCTCGTCAGGTTTTTCAGATGATTTTGATCTATATAAATTCTTCAAAACTCAGTTCAGCTACTTTCCATGTTTGTTTTGTAAAGGATGTTATAATTCTGAGGTCGGATTTGTGCTATGTTTGGTAAGACTGAATATAATTTTCATTTATTTAGCAACTTGGATTATTTTTTAGTTTTGGAACTGTTTTTGGTTGCACCTAGGTACTAAAAATTTCATGTTCACAGGGAGGGTTCTTGTTTGCTTACTATTGTAATTTTTGATAGTATAATTCCTTTATGGCTCTTTGATAATCCAACTGTTAGCTTAGTTAATCTCTCTCCAGCTTCTGTTAGGGTATGTGTTACGGTGCAAGGTGTTTGGGGTAGACAGATGAGGATAATGGCCTCTGATGTCAAGGTGCTTATGGTTGCGGGTATGTCGTGAAATGGTTGTACAATACAGTGGAAGCAGAGGAGCCGGGGATTTGTGTGTGTCGGGCAGTCTTCATTGAGAATGACGGCCTTGAGAGACTTCACTTGGAAGGGAAGGGAATCCCAAGCAGAGAGAACAGTAAATAGAGAGGCAGGAAAGCAGAGCTCATAGGAGGAAGGAGGGTGAGGCTGTCCTGTTTGTGTGGGTGTGTGGGTGGTGTGTGGCAGGAGTAGTTGGTGGGGAGAGGAGGAACTGATGAGAAATTGATGGGCCAGACTGGATGATCTTGGCTCCCCTCTATGGGCATTTAGTCTTAACTGTTTACACAGTGAGAAGCCATCACTGAATAGAGGAGGGATCTGTAAGTTTAGGATGACTGTTCAGGTGGGTTTGGAAGGAGAAGGGGCTGGAGGGGAGAGATTCCAATTAAGAGGCTAGTGTGATACTGATGCAAGGTACTGGACGATGGGCTTGGGCTTGAGGAATGGGGAGGAAAAGGAGAACACTCCAGAGATAGGAACAAAGCGTCTCTATGACAGAGGGGAAGGAATTTGCAGCTTCTAGGTTAGAATAACGCTGAAATCTTTATGAGTCCAAACCAACCAAACAAAAAGCCCCAGGAAAATGAACAGGTTGTTGAAAGGGGATGGTGATGTATTCAGAGCTGAGTTTGGGATGACTTTGTTTTACACTTTGTCCTCTCACTGATCTTCCCTCAGAGTACCCAAAGGCAAGTGGAACAGCTCTAATGGGGTTGAAGAAAAAGAGACTTGGGTGGAAGAGGACGAACTGTTTCAAGTTCAGGGTAAGCCAGAAGATTCTCACTGGTTTCTCTCCTTGACACTTGCTTAAGTATAGATGCATGCTACTGTCACATCAATGTTCCAGAAACTGCTTGTCTCCAAAATAGAAAAAAGTTTAAAAGTTCCACATTGTGATTCATGAGGAATCCATTTTATGTCTTTTTTTTCCATTAAACAATGGAGACTATCAAAGCAACACTTAACAGGTAAAGAAAATTCTTGGTTTGGTTTAATAAATCCTGTATTTAATGGTAGTTGATATTCTTCCCAAAGTATTTTAATTAGAAAAGGTAGAAGTGGTCATTCCCTACATTTCTTATTTAACTAAATGGTCTCTTACCAGTTTCTGTATAGTAAATGTTTTTTTTCCAAGATGAGAAATGTTACTTTCCTTTAATGAATACTAAGTTTCATTGCTTTTGCATTAGGATCCCCCCGCCACATCCTTTGCACTCTAATGAAAATATCTACATGCTAAACCTTAGTCTTGCAGATGCTGAAGACTTCTGTAACACAGCAGCAACCAGTAATCTTTTGCCAGTCTCAAAGATTTTGTCCTTAAGAATTACCTTTTGTTGGCAAAAACATAGTTGGCAAAATCAAGGTTATACAGAAGATGGGAGAAATAATGATGAATAAAAGTGGCATTAAATATGTTTAAAACAGGATATAAAAGTTCTAGAAAACATCCACTTCTGATGCAGTCCAGATTTGTCAGTTTCAGAAATCTGCTTCTACTATATATAGTAGGAAATACTTCATAATTTAAAAATAAATAATCTGCTCCTGTAAGTACCCCTTCTCCTGTGTCACCCTCCCTCATTCTTTAGGAAGCATTCCTGGGACAGTGATGTCTGCTAAGGCAGACACTGCAGCAGGTTCCACGTTTATGCAGCTTTGCCTTACCCAGCTTTGTAACTGGCTCTTGTTGGCCTGAGATGGCATGTTCATTACACTGTATAGCCTCCTGTAGCCCTCTGGTCCTTTAAAAAATTATCTTGGACCTTGTTTTATGAAGCCTGACCTATATCCATAATGATGAAAAGGTAGAATCTGAATAGATCTCACATGGTCTGTTGGAGTGGGAAGCAATAATTATTACCCCATTCCTTTTGTTTGAGGAATTGAGCCAAATTTTACTTACATCTAGTATTTTGGAAATTCAAAAACAATAAAACTGGGTTATTTCAAAGCAGTGGTTAACAAGGAGTTAATAGAAATTATATATATATATACACACACACATACACTCATATATAGGTATATGTATATACACAAAAATTTAAGTTTAGAAAATTATATTGGTTTTACTAAAGAGCCTGAAATCCTGATCAACATTTACTGAATGCCTGTTTGTTAAGTATTTGCTTTGTACAGATTCTCATGGACTGAAATGATTGGTATCTTGCAAGCAGAGGACAAAAACAAATTATCCTTTAGTGATATCCTTTATTCTCTCAGAGTTTGTAAAATCTGAATCAAGTTTTCCCTTTGGGGCTGTTCTGTGTCTTTTTCTTGTGGGTTGTCCTGAGAAAGGTAAGCTCTGACATGAGTCTGCTTCTAATGTTTTCCAGCAGCACCAGATGAAGAGAGTGCAACCAATACAACAAAAAAGCAGGTAATTTTTTAAACTGTCTTTTCTAATCTTTTCTGGTTGTACGGGTAGAAGAGGGGTAAAATAAGTACCCACATTTCACAGGCATAGACTACCCATGCATCTGGTAAAAAATTTTATTTGTAATTTTCAGATAATCCAAACTCAGTAATAGTTACCCTTTGGAAGAAAAATTTAGGTCAGAATGCTGACACATTTCCCAACCATGAATACATGTTTAAAGTTCTGAATGCAGAAATGATTATTAGTTGAGGACAAAACAGTAAGACACTGAAAATTAGTAAATGTTCAAATCCATGGTGTTAACTTATAATCTGTATCATGTTTTAAGAGTATAAATCCTTCCTTTGGTTCAGATTATTCTCTTAGACCGCTTCACTATATGAAAATGTAAGTGGAGAGAACAGGTGGTGATAAATCCTTTGCTTCTCTTTTCTTGCAGAAGTGGACTGTAGAGGAAAGCGAGTGGGTCAAGGCTGGAGTGCAGAAGTATGGAGAAGGAAACTGGGCTGCCATTTCTAAAAACTACCCGTTTGTTAACCGAACAGCTGTGATGATTAAGGATCGCTGGCGGACCATGAAAAGACTTGGCATGAACTGAAACAGGCTTTCATTTCCACAGAATTCACAGGAGCATGGTTCCTAATAATAGCCCCTGGTAGTCTGCTGTTTCTTTCAAAAGCTGGGCTGGGATGAGAATTTTGGGCATCCTCCTCTCATGTGGGGGAGGTCCCGGTTCCACTTCATCACAGTTGGAGATCATGGAGCTGAGAAACAAAGCCAAGTCCACCCCATGTCCTTGGCAGAGATGACAGGCACATAGCTTGTACAGTGCCAGAATACCATTAGTATTTCCCTTCTTTAGTGGTTTGCTTGAATTTAAATCCCTGGTAATCAGTAGAACCTTCTCCTAGGAAATGGTGGAGTCTGTTAGGAGCCACTTTTGACTCCACGTACCTGTTAAAACCAGCAACATGAGCATTATTTGGAGTGAACTTCTTCCAGGTAAAGCTTTGGCCTTCTGATGCAAATGCAAAGGAACTTCAGCTGTTGTGAGCCCAGGTTGATAAGAGACCAGTCCTGGTGGAGTCAGAGTCCCTTTAAACATTGTTCAGCCGATTGTGATGTCGACATCTAGAAATGTGACTGCCTTGGCATTTGCTCTATTTGCTGGCCTCCGTAGGCAGGTGTAACCTCCACTTCTCACGTGGTGGAACCAGTGTGTTTTTTGGTAAAATGGTGATTGTAGATAAGCTTAGCCCCTGGCCCCATCCACTCTTCCCAATTCTTTATGCTGGACTTTTAAAGCTTAAGAAAATCCTGATTAAGTATAAATGCCTAATTCCATTCTTTGTGAAATGGTTGCTTCCGCCTGGTTCCCTAATTGTGCTGTGTTAGTGTCTTGCACTGGAATTCAACATTCCCTTCTCCTTTTGTACTGTGTTGTGCTTGCTGTCTCTCAGATCCTTAAAGACTGTCTTTTTAGCAAAAAAAAGAATTTCAGTAAAGTGTTTTCTGTAATCTTTTTTTAAAATGAGAACTAATTATTGTCCATAACTTGTAGCATTCTTCATTAAAGTCTTGCTTCTCTCAAATTTAAGTAGCTGTTTAATTGCAGCTGAAAAAGCGGAAGTAGCAAAATGCTGAACAAGCTTTGGTAAACCCTGCTATCTGTATTAAGAAACTAATGTCAAACTGTATTGAATGTTCTAATCCTTAGAAGCTATGCCGTATAGACATGTGGAAGTTCCTTCTTAATCTGTCTCATTTCTTCATATACTATACCTCTGAAGACAAAAGAATTCCCTTTTGTCCATTTCTCTTCACAAATGTTAAAGTTTAAAAATTCATCCTGTAGTTAAAATTTGGAAACTTTGTACAGCTTTATTACCTATTAACTACATGTTCGGGGGTTTGGTACTGCTGTTTTTCTAAGTTAACCCCAAATTAAACTAGTGAGAAGGTGAGAACTTGATCTCCACTTGATGTGGTGGTAGCTAGTTGTGGTCTCCCTCCAGACCAAGTTTTAGGATCCAGTAGCCTCTTTATTTTCAACGCACGTTGTTAGATGGCACACTCTAAGTAAAAGAGTGACACTGGGATATACTTAAGGAAGCAAAATATTCCAGTAAGTGTTTCTCCAATTTGAGAAAGGCATAGATCCACTAGCCCCCTCCCCCTTTTTAATATAACTTCAGTGTTATTTTTTATTATGTTATGGAATGTGTACGGAAAAACCTCTGCCTATAGTTTCTATGGAATTAGACAACTTACCATGAACTGATGGCTGTTTTGGTGAATGTCACTGCTTACCACATATTGGTGAGCAGTGTTAGGACTGGGGCAGTGGTGGGACTCCAGTGGAGGTGCCGGTGTCACTGTGTCACTGGGAAACGATCCCACTGTCTCCTACCTTCACCTTAGCAACACTGCAGCCACTGTGCCTCCAGATTGCTGTGATGTCATCTGGCCTTTGCTGGAACTGAACATAATTATGAAGTACATTCTTCATAACAGCACATACTTGGTGACTGTTAAAAGTATTACCACTTGGAGTCATTGTGATGCATTCTGAGGCAATACTTGGTTAGAAGGTACTCATGCTTAAGATGATGGCGGAGATAAAAACATGTACACTCTGTCAGAACTCAAAGACTGACAGACACACTGTCCTGAGGGGTAAGAATGTGAGGCCCACTCAGGGCCCCAGCTGTGCCTATAGATGGTGAGTTAGACATTGGATTCTTCAAATGAAATGGATGTCCATTTCATTTCTAATGTAGTAGATAATGGTACTTCCCTTGTAGGCTGATGTGAGAATAAGATGCAGGTAAATCTCTCCTCCATGAAGACAGTGGGTGTTCAGTAAGCCTTTTTCCCCCTGTGGGTGCTAAAGAAGCCACAGATAAAAGAAGACATATCAAGTGTCTGAACAACGTAACAGTCTTTCAGTGGGTTTTGGATAGCTTTAGGTGACTGTTATCATTCAAGTGGATGGTAGCAGAATGAGGAGGGCTATCTGTGGAGGAGTTTGACCACTGTCTCTCGCTCACTCTTCATCCATTTAAATGTTTCTACACACTTCCATGCTGTGCTTTGCTCTCCTATGCTGTAGCACTGGGCAGAAAGAAGTCCAAAGAAACAGGTTTTGCCCCTTCTATCTTACAGGAGCAATAGGTATCATCTAGCAATTTGATTGGAGAAGGAAATGGCAACCCACTCCAGGATTCTTGCCTGGAGAATCCCAGGGACAGAGGAGCCTGGTGGGCTGCTGTCTATGGGGTCACACAGTCGGACACGACTGAAGTGACTTAGCAGAAGCAATTTGATATGAATGAAAAAAAATCTCCCAGTGACTGTGCACTAAGAAATAAGTCCATACATTCAGATAGTTGGAAATAAACCTGCTTAATGTTTATTCCCAACAGGTAAAAACTGAAAAATGACAGCCCAAAGGAAGGGTGGAAATCGCTCTTCTGAAGTAATAGATTCTATGTAGAAACCTGTTAAATAGATTTGGTAAGCCACTGAGTTTTTGAAGTTAAAGCAAAAATTCTTCCTGTGAGACAAACGTGGGGTCTCATGCCAATTCTATTCTGGAATATCTTATGTGTGGCCCTGAGACTGTCCTAAGTGTTACTTGTGAAGTTAATCATTACCCCAGCAGTTGTCTAAATTGCTTGATTCC